CACACACACACACACACACACACACACACACACACACACACACACACACACACACACACACACACACACACACGCGCACACACCCACACGCACACACGCACACACACACCACAGAGAGACACGCGCGCGCGAAAGCACGCACGCATGCACGCACACACGCATGTATATATCGCTATACGCTTATATCGGAAGAATGATTTTATTCATTATAGCGCGCCGCTGATCGTGTCCTACAATTACGGCGTCAGGCGGCAGCGACGGCCACACAAGCCCGTGCCACATACAGAGCAGATGATTCGCACTGCTGTACGGCTGATGTGCTGCAGACATTGATGGCCTGCACAACCGGCGACGCCTAGCAGATCGAGAATTCATAATTATATGATATATTTTATTTTATATTTTTTGGAACACTTTTTTTGTAGGTAAATATTATTTTTGCCCACTTTTTGGCTGAAAATTTGACCAAAAACATTTATTTTCAAACCCGGAAATGATGGAACCATCCGAAAGTACGAAATCGAATCTCAATTTTATACGCAGAACGTAAAAATCCTAGCGCTCGACTATACACTGCAGCAGAAAAGTAAAGAGGAATCCTAGCGCAGCAGAAAAGTAAAGAGGAATCCTAGCGCTCGACTATACACTGCAGCAGAAAAGTAAAGAGGAATCCTAGCGCAGCAGAAAAGTAAAGAGAAATCCTATTGCTCGACTATAGTCGACACTCGGCCTATAAGGGTTTTAATGTATGTGATAATGTATGTCATAATACGTGCTATCTGTATCTGATGAAATACAGATAGCACGTCTTATCACATACATTAACCGATGTTCAGTCATCCGTGTCCGTGATCAGTCAACCATGTACACGTTCTATGGCGCGCCTCTCTATATAACTGACATATGAATACATGTACATGGTTCACTGATCACGGACACGGATCACTGAACATCTAAATTAAATTTATTTCGCAGGACTCACTGAAGCAATCGTATGAAATGCCGAAACGAAAGCGATCGTCTTTGGGCAGTTCAACTGCAAGGGCAAACAAACTGGCCCATCAAAGAGCACGCTCTGCAGAGAATGCCGAACAGCGCGAACTCCGACAAAGAAGCGATGCCGCAACCCACCAGAGGTCACGTGCAGAGGAGAGTCTAGAACGGCGCCAACTCTGTCAAAGAAGTGATGCCGCAACCCACCAGAGGTCCCAGCACAGGAGAGTCCAGAACGGCTCCAACTCCGTCAAAGAAGTGATGCCGCAACCCACCAGACGTCACGCACAGAGGAGAGTTTAGAACGGCGCCAACTCCGTGAAAGAAGTGATGCCGCAACCCACCAGAGGTCACGTGCAGAGGAGAGTCAAGAACGGCGCCAACTCCGTCAAAGAAGTAATGTCGCAACCCACCAGAGGTCACGTACAGAGGAGAGTCCAGAACGGCAAGAATTCCGTCAAAAAAGTGATGCCGCAACCCACCAGAAGTCACGTGCACAGAAGAGTCCAGAACGGCGCCAACTCCGTCAAAGAAGTGATGCCGCAACCCACCAGAGGTTACGTGCAGACGAGAGTCCAGAACCGGGCCAACTCCGTCAAAGACGTGATGCCGCAACCCACCAGAAGTCACGTGCAGACGAGAGTTCAGAGGCAAGGAGGGCCAGGGAACGTACTGACGGTGAGGCAACAGCATCTGCAGCTGCTGCCAAAAACATTTCATGGCTCAAGGCAGCGTTCTCCTACGACCTCAACAAAGACTACACCTCCAACCCAAAGGTCTGAAATTGGCAGGATGGACAACATCTTCAGACACTGCTCTGCCAAGAAGTGGCTAGGGGAAGCTCCAGGAATGTGCTGCACAGGAGGCAAAGTAAAGCTGGAGGCCCTCCAAATGCCACCAGAGATCTTCAGGTAGCTGCTCTTACAAGACAGCCCACGTGCCAAGCACTTCAGTGACAACATCTGGAAGTACAACGCGCACCTACGACAACGAAGTCTGTGGCACGTACAGGGAGGCCAGCGCCAAGTACGGTCTTCTGGAGGATGACGCGCACTGGAACCAGACCCTGGAGGAAGCAGGTACCACAGGGGTGCCAAGACAGCTGCGCCAACTCTTTGCCATCATGCTCACGACCTGCAGCCTGGCAGAGCCGTTCAAGCTGTGGGAAGCTCACAAGGAAAACATGGCAGAGGACATCCACCACCGAGTGCAGCGCCAAAATCCTGAACAGGAAGTGACCTACACAGATGCCATGTACAACGAGGCGCTGCTGGAGCTGGACAACCAAGTTCAAGCAATGGGCGGCAAAGGAGTCCACATCTTCGGCCTGCCACAGCCAGAGCAGAACAACAACGCACTCGCATATGTATACCTGCAAGAGACCAACCACAGACCAAATGGCAACATACGTCAATGGCAACGAGATGCGCCTGGTGGAGGATCAGCAGCGTGCCTACGACGCCATCTTCGCAAGCATTGAGGAGGAACGTAGCGGCCTCTTCTTCCTCGACGCTCCTGGCAGAACAGGCAAGACCTTTGTTACCAACCTTCTTCTGGCCAAGGTCAGGCAGACGAGGAAGATTGCCCTGGCAGTTGCTTTAAGCGGCATTGCTGCCACCCTGCTGGACGGAGGGCGCACTGCTTACTCGGCCTTCAAGCTGCCATGCAACCTGGCAAAGCGGCAAAATCTAACCTGCAACATCAACCGTGGCTCCACAAAGGCCAAGCTGTTCCAAGAGTGCAAGCTCATCATCTGGGACGAGGCAACCATGAGCCACAAAGGCGCCTTTGAAGCACTCGATAAGACCCTACAAGACCTTCGGCACAACACAAACGTCATGGGAGGTGTGACTGTCCTGCTCTCAGGCAACTTTTGCCAAACCTTGCCAGTCATCGCCAAAGGAACAAGAGCAGATGCTGTATATGCCTGCATCAAGTCCTCCTACCTCTGGAGCAAGGTCAACCGCCACAGCCTGAAGACCAACATGAGGGTGCAGCTCAGCGGCGATGAAGAAGCTGGCCGCTTCTCTCAGCAACTGCTGGAGGTTGGCAATGGCAGACTCACCACTACAGCTGATGGCCAAGTCAAGCTGCCATTCGGCAAAGCAGCGGCGGACATCACCCAGCAGATGACCAAGGTCTTTCCAAACCTCCACATCCGCTACCAAGACCAAGACTGGCTGAACGAGCGAGCCATCCTTGCTCCCAAAAATTTGGCCGTTGATGACATCAACGCCAAGCTGCTGGAGCAACTGCCTGGCGACCCAACGAGCTACAAGTCGATGGACACAGTTCCTGACCCTGACCAGGTGGTGCACTATCCGACCGAGTTTCTCAACAGCCTCGCGCCCTCAGGTCTGCCACCACACAACTTGGTGCTCAAGGTCGGCGCGCCCATATTGCTAATGCGCAACCTGGATGCTCCCAAGCTCTGCAACGGCACAAGGCTCACAGTCAAGCAGCTCATGCCCAGAGTCATCGAAGCCAAAATCACAACAGGCAAGGGCAAGGGCGAAAATGTCTTCATCCCAAGGATCCCGCTCATCCCATCAGACCTGTCATTTGAGTTCAAGAGGCTGCAGTTTCCAGTCAAGCTGTGCTTTGCCATGTCCATCAACAAGGCCCAGGGCCAGTCTCTCAAGGTGGTTGGACTCAACCTCAGTCAGCCAGTGTTCTCCCATGACCAGCTCTATGTGGGGTGCTCTAGGGTGGGTAACCCAGACAACCTCTACATCCTCTCTCAAGATGGCAAGATCAAGAATGTTGTGTACCAAGAAGCGCTGCAAAAATAAACAGAAGTTATATTCTTGGGACAGATTTATAAAATCCGAATAACATCAGTACAGCCGTCATGGCAGACTAAATTCTAGCTCTTTTCTCTTTTATCCCGGGCATCGCCAGGTAGCCCAGCTAGTATATATATACATTCGAGAAAAGGGAGGGGTGCAGATCTAATAAGCCACTTCGCAGTTACGTATTGAGCATGCGCGAGATTCTGGCGTGAACTTTTGCCAAGGGTCAATTGTAAATAAACGGCTCGCTGTGTCTCCGTTGCGTGTGATAGTAAGTGGAACCGTACGTACTGTATTTGTCCAAGTTTGAAATAAAATCACATTTAACTAAGATTTGCCCAATATAGAATGTGTGTAAACTTCATTTATACATGTAGAACAAATACATGTTATTTGTTCAATTTTGTTGTCTAGTTACTTAGTTGATAAATAGAAAAATGCTTGGTTATAATTGATATCCAGTCTTTTAGGTGTAGGGATACATGTTTATAAAGGACCCATGGATTGATTTCAGTACTAATTATGCCAATAACGTAAAGATGCATGTGTGAACAACTTTCGAGTTTACCTAGTAGCTATTTGTACACATAAGAAGTAAGACATTCTAAAACTATTTTAAGTTCATCATTTATTGAAAGGTTTTCTTAATATTTTTCATCCTCACCAAAGTTTCTGTAATTGTCATCATGGACATCTGACGTCTCCATCATCATTTTCTTATTGCATCATTCATACACATGCAGTTACATCTCATTCTCAATTATATACTTAATAAAGCAACGAACATTCAATAATTAAATAGCATTCGTTAATAAACATAACATTGTTTGAATGCATACTATTTCAGTTATTAGTATTTTGATTTACAATTGTAATACCGCAGAAGTACACAGTAAGCAATTAGCAGGGGGAAAAGGGTAGAACCACTATTGTTCTATTTATATTATTATTCTATTTATATTACTATGCTATTGTTCTATTTTGGGTACATGCCCAGCTGTGTAGTCGTGACCATGTGACCAGCCATTTATTAGAGACAACCAATTACAGGCGGTCGCGCTACAGCGGGGTTGACGATAAACAATAGGTAGGCAGGATCTTTAGATTGGGTATAAAATCTCTTGCTCGGCGAGAGAGAAGGACAGACAGACCGAGATAGATATAGACTGCACATCCATTTAGATAACCCGTCGTCACATCATTAGCCTCGTAAGTTATGACAGTGTCTCGCGTAAACCTCGTGTACGCGGCTGCCCGTTTATGGGATTATACATAGTTTAAGAGGTAACGATTAAAGAGAGTAACTAGGATACGTATATCACTGCTGTTGTGTACTTTTCAATGTGTGGTTGGAAACGGAAAGGTTGAGGCCCGGAGTGCAAGTGACTGCATCTGCTAATGAACGGTTTGACTGTTTGAAGTACCTGTTAATCGTTCATCGTCTACCTTGTGGAGAGGGCCTGAAGCTGAGAGCAAGTGACTTCTCCTACTGAATGAACGGTTTAAGTAACTTTTGTGATCCGGCGAGACATTATAAATGGTTTGAAAGGAACTAGAACGTAGTTACCTATGCTATAGTCGGCTGCTGTAAATTGGTATTGCACATTCGTTGTCATGTATATTTACAATGCATGGTTTGGCAGAAATACTTGTAAACAAGCATACGTGTAGTTTCGGTGTGTATGTTATTTGCACTGTTACACAATGTGTCAAGATATGTGCCTGATAATTGTTGTCATACATGTACATGAACAATATCCACAGTAATGAGCAGCGCATGATGTCCCTCTATTAGTGCATGTGTTATGCATTAATGTTTGTTTAACCATTGTTTCATGACTGTTAACTGTGTATGCATTACTATTACATGTAGTTCTAGAGCATTTGGTGTGAAGCAATATGACACAGGCACCTCCCAATAACGTCTATGT